GACAAACAAAAACAAGTGCAGGAGGCCTGGGTTTCCCATTACACCTGCTAAGGGCCCAGAGAGACAACCTCAAGCTTGAAGGGTGGGTCCTGAAGAAAGAAGATGGTCTTTCCTCCCAAAGGGGGAGGTGAGGGTTGAATCAAAGAAGGGGCTTCTCCTTTCTTCAGACAGCAGCTTTGAAGACTGCAGACCCTTGGTAACTGTGGGCAGCATATGGAAAGATGTCTTCGTGGTACTCCTGGTTTACCTGCCCCATTGCCTGGCAGGTGGAGTGATGTTGTTCACAAAGGGAAACAAGGTAGGATGCAGGTGCATTTGCTTCAGGATCAAAAGAGTTGACCAACTATAAGAGGAGAAGGCACAGCTATTTTTTGTTCAGTCTCCTATCCAAGTTTTGGAAGCTTTTTTTACTACCACCAGGGCTGCTCTGGGTACTTCTTTTGAAGCTTCTGGCCCTCAGAGTGGCACCTCTCCAGCCGATGAGCCTCTTTGTGCACAAACTTCATTTTCTCCAGAACCAGGCTAGACCACGCTGAGCTGAGGGAACCCAGGGGCCTGGAGTGCTGGGATTGACCAAAGTGGCTTCCACTCAGACCAGTCCTTGTGTGCACCAGCCCAACACTCAGGTGGAGGATAATCTCTTGGGCATTTCTGGGTAAGATGACTCGTATCTGTTAAAGCCTCACAGACAAGCAGATGGTGATGCAGGAGCCCTCCCTTCAAAGACAGACCCATACCGTGAGTGTAGCTCAATGGGAGAGCACTTGTCCAGCATTCAGAAGTCTAGACTTGATCCCATTTAACAAACCAGAAAAAGTACTGGAAGGAAGGAAGCATATATGTAGTAATGTGTCAAAACACAATTCGGGAATGCAGCTGTGTGAGAAAAGGCCAAGAAAACAAGAGTCTTGTGACCTCGGCGTCTTCAAAAAACGCGGACTCGTTCTTGGAATGTGTTTCATGCTCCTCCCAGGTGTAGAGGACAGGACTGGGTTGACTTCAGCTCTTGCTCTTCACATTTCTATGGAAACACATGTTTTTGCCACATGTGGCTTGTCCCTGTGCTTGAACCCCTTTCTCAAATGACTCTTCTTAGCCTTCAGGGTATACCTTTGTCTGATGCTCTGAATCAAGTTGGCTTTTGTGACTTTACTCCGCCTCAGTTTTAGGCCCACTCTCCCAGGTTCATGCTGCTAACTAACCAGAGTGGTAACCAGTAATGAATTTTGTCCTTTAGGTCAGTGGTTCTGAGAGCTAAATATTACTAAATGGGTCATTAGTACTGAACTCATGATGGTAGGCAAGCAAAATGGGTTTATTCTTGGAATCTAGATCTAGCAAGTTCACATACATAAGCACATGTGCGTGCGCACGCACACACACGCACGTGCGCACACCACCACCACCACCGTAGCCACCACCGCACTACATCAATCAGATAGAATCAAGCTCAAGCATTGCAGTCACATTCCCTGCTTCTCTCTGCGGTGTGGTTCTAGCCTCCTGAAATGCCATTGTGGTTTGCTTTCCTGTTGTTGTAATAAACTCCCTGACCAAATGGAACATGGAGGAGAAAGAGGTTTTCCCTCTTACACTTCCAGGTCGCAGTCCATCACTGAGGATAGTCATAGCTGGAGCTCCAGACAGGAACCTGGAATCAGAGACCATGGACCAATGTTGCTTACTGGCACCCTGTCTCCACTACCCCTTTCACTCCTTCCTACTCAGTTAGCTTTACATATACATATATATATATATATACACACACACATATATATATATACACATATATGAATATATAATACATGTGTGTATATGTTGAGGACTGTGGACCCCCAGACCCTGAATTTCCTGTGACCCCCCTGCCAGCTGCTCTGAGCAAACAACTTGTTTTCCTGTGTTTAGCACGAGACCCTCAGAAGTTTCTGATGACAGGGGAGTGGTTTCTGGTGGACTTGCAGCTGGTGAAGAAAGTGATTGCTTTTTGTCCTTGTCCAAAGAGTCTGCCTGAGGCTAAAGTGAAGAGAGTTGGATTAATGAATTAATGAACTCTCAAGACAGCCTAGTGTAGACTCTGTCATGTGGTTACTAGTGTTCATGCTTATAAAGATTTATAATGAAATTGAGCAAGCTGAGCCAAGAAGTGTAATGGAGCCAAATTCTCTGTTCAGAGAGATAAACAAACTAAGAAATGAAATAAAGGGAGTGGTGACTTCAGGGCAAGAACCCGACCAGATAGGTTTTCAACTTGTAAAAAGGAATTAAAGAAAAGCTTAAAGCTGGGCGGTGGCAGCATATGCATTTAATCCTAGAATTTGAGAGGCAGAGGCAGGCAGATCTGTGAGTTCAAGACCAGCCTGGTCTAGAGATTCAGTTTCAGCAAACTACGTCTGGTGTGGCAAATAGTTCACTTCCTGTTGATCAAGATGAAGAACTATCAGCTCCTTCTCCAGCACCATGTCTGCCTGCATGCTGCCATGCGTCTCAGCATGATGATAATGGATTAAACCTCTGAAACTGTAGGCCAGGCACAGTGAAATGTTTTCCTTTATAAAAGTTACCATGGTCATGGTGTCTCTTCACAGCAGTAGAAACCCTAACTAAGAAAGGGGATAGAAGAACTTGAGAATACATCTGAAGGTGCCTATGGTAACTAGTAATTAGTAACTGATTTGGAGGGCTTTATTGGCTTTGTTTGAGACAGAGTCTTATGTAACCCAGGCTGGCCTCAGTTTATCCTTCTGCTTCATCCTTCAAGTGGCGTGCACCACACACCAGCACTATTACTTTTTAAGAAATAATTTATTTTAGAGTGGCATAGGTCTATAATCCTAGTACTTGGGAGGAAGACAGGAGGATCAGGACTTTGAGAATAGCCATGGCGACCCTAGAGTTTGAGGCTTGTATGAGTGTTTGCTTGCATGTATGTGTACCAAGTGTACCATGTGTGTGTGTCTGGTACCCAAGGAAGCCAGAAGAGAGCATCACTACCAATATAACTGGAGTTATATACGCCAGTAAGTTACCATAGGGTGCTAGAAACTGAATTCATAGTCTCTGCAAGAACAGCAAAGATTGATTCTTAACCACTGATCCATCTCTTTATTATTATTGTTATTTATTATTTTTTAAGATTTTTATTTTGAGGGGTCTGGAGAGATGGCTCAGAGGTTAAGAGCACTGACTGTTCTTCCATAGGTCCTGAGTTCAATTCCCAGCAACCCACATGGTGGCTCCCAACCATCTGTACTGACATCTGGTGCCCTCTTCTGGCCTGCAGGCATACATGAAGGCTGAACACTGTGTACATAGCAGGCATACATGGAGGCTGAACACTGTGTACATAGTAAATAATTTTTTTTAAAAAAAGATTTTTATTTTGAGTATGTGTATGTGTGTCTGTGTGACTGTTTGTTGTGTTATCTTGGAGTACCCTTGTAGATCGAGGAGAATATCAGACCCCTAGAAGCTGGAGATACATGTGGCTGTGACCCAACTGAATGGGTGCTAGGAACAAACCCAGGCCTTCTATAAGAATAAGGAGTTCTCAACTACCTGGGGTTCCCTTTTTCCTTGTGGTCCATTGGCCACCAGTCCATGAGGACAAAGGGGCAGAAGCAATGACAGAGAACTTTGTATGGTCTCTGAACATGACAGAAAGAGCCTTCTGGGATATTGCTTCAGCGAGCTAGCTCAACTTGATTCCAGAGTGAGGGGAGATTTAAAGGATGGGGACAGTGGCTGAGGCATCACCTAATCTGCATTAAACAGCATGCTCCTCTCGTGAAGTTCCTAGTACAAGTCTCAGTTATCATCTGTGAAAGCATGAACCTATTGTAAAGCTCCTGACACATGTCTAATTACCGTGGGCAGCAGGAGGAAGACTTCTGCAATGAATTGCATCAAGGGTCATACCCAGGTAAGTCAGGCATCCGGGCTGGGAGATCTCCAAATAAGGTCAGGTAGAGAATGGGGCACCTTCCACCAATGAGAGGGAGTCCTTCATGTTGCCGAGCTCAGAGAGAGCTGCCAGGCCATGGGAGACTGCAACCTCTGACCAACAGGGCCTCCTAGCCCTACCCCCTTTTTGAGATACAGTATCACTATATAGCCCTGGATGGCCTGGAACTCTTTATGTAGACCAAGCTGGTCTTGAACTCACAGAGATCCACCTGCCTATGGCTCTGCCTCCCAGGTGCTGAGATCAAAGGTGTGCAGCACCATACCTGGCCTAATTTTTTTGAAAGTAAAGCAGTAAAGCATCGTGGCACACGCCTTTATCCCCAGCACTTGGGAGGTGGGGACAGAAGGATCAGTTTGAGGGTAGCTGTGGCTATCTTAGAGTTGGGGGCCAGCCTGAGATAAGTGAGACACTGTCTCAAATGAAATAAACCAAGTACATGTAAGTGTAAAATGGTATGACACAGTTATACACACCTTCGGTTCCTACTTGGAGTCTGAGGATTGTGAATTCACTGTTAATCTGGACTCTATAACTAGATCCTGCCTCACCCAAATGGATAAATAAAGGCAACATTAAAATGTTTAAAGTGTAGCCCCCGAGGCAAAGTCAAGGAGAAGCTGTTTGTATGCTGGTGTGTTTCCCACGTGCATTCTCTCATCACCTTTAAAGATGTTTTGTTGTGATATGAACAGTTACACTCCTCCAGCAACTCTCACAAGACAATACCCACATCTGACACAGGCCATGTGTGAGTGTTCTTCCTCTAGAACGAAACCCCTCCAGCCTATGTTAGTTCAGCTGATGAAGTGACATGTGGGTATCACAAAAGATAGATCAGGCCAACACAAGTCAGAAAAGAAGATGTACGGATCACACTGACACCACTCAAAATAGACAGATTTTAATTGTTGTTAGCTTGTTGCCTCTTACGACATTTTTAAAAATCAAGTCACAGCTGTTTGTACTTTACACTGTGACCATCATAAGCAAATATGAAAAGAAGCAGTCACAACAGGTGGACCCATGGTTGCCCGTCAGTCCAATGTCATCTAACACGAAGGACCAGTAAGAGACATGTGAGTCAGTGGGACAGAGTTTCAACAGGGCCTGCATGGCAGCTTTAGCTGGTGCCTGTGTTCGGTTTGGTGAAAGTTATGAAGCTTCTGGTCAGCACCAGAGAACCTGAGGAGAATTAGATATGTGTTGCCATGGAAACACCTACCACTAACGATACCAACTGATTCCAATCTTTTGGCCAGGAAAGGGTTTCTATTGTCTTTGGTTCACACTTTCTCTCTCATTAACAAGTAGAAATATAACCCCTGCTTGGTACAAAAAAAAATACACACAAACAGAACTGTTCTGCATTTTAAATGATTGATTCTCAGAGTGACAAATTTGGTCAGATGGATTGGCTGAATGTCGAGGACGCCACGTCGGAGCTCTTGACACCATTAGAAGAGTCACTACACCAGAAGTCTGCCGGTGGCGCTTCAGTGCCCTGCTGCCGGAGGATGCTGCGCACTGCGCTGGTCTCCACTGTGGGAAAAGCACGGAGCCGAGCATTGACTTTTGCCAACTGCTCAGTATTGCTTTATTTTTTGGTTGTAACGATTTGTGTTGGTTGTCTGCTGCGACCTACATTGCCTCCCTGGGAGTTATTTGTTTAGATCAGAAAAATCTGAGCTGGTAGTTCAGCTGGGAACACAGGTCAAAGATAAAGGACACCTGGACTGGGGTGGGGGAGTGCCAAGCTTGGGGAACCCTGTTGGTTCTCTAGAGCTGAGGCGTGTGTTCAGATGAAGTGCAAAGCTTTTCCAGGACAGCGCGGACTTCCTCTGGATTGTAGTTCCAAGGGCCAGGTTTACCCTGCAAGAGAGACGAGTTAGGTGTCATCGATCCCATCCAATGTCACGTCTGCAGCTTGGCTGAGAGATCTGGGCTAATGATATCTATGGAGTTGTCAACACAGGGCAGATGCAGCCTTGAGGTAGGTCACGCTGCTCAGGGAAATTGTGGAGAGTGTCACCAACATTTAACCTGAAGACTGGGCAGGGAATTAGGAGGGAGGCCAGAGGCAAAATGACAGAGGTTTAGGAGAAGGGGACAAAACCCTAAGTCCTTGCAACACCAACCTTCACATTGAGTTCTTTCCATTCTGCAGAACCGCCTCTGACTCCCCAGACCCTCCGCCCTCACTCAATCCTCTCCATCCTGATTGGGGCAACTGTGGTACTTTCTGTCTTTGGTCCCCAATCCCTTTGTTCTCTCTTCACAGACACCAGTGATCTTTCTAAAGTGCAGATCTAATCAGATCATGCCTGTCCTGTTCAAAACCTTCCTGTGACTCTTCTTGGCCTTTGGGGGAAGATGAATTTCTCTGGCTGTCTAAATGCTTAATTTCCTCCCCCCTCATGCCTTGCCCTAATGTGCCTCACACCTTACCCACACCTGCTTCCGATATTCTCAACAAATTTCCCTCCTCATGCAGCTCAAGGACCAAGCAGGCCAAATCCTCAGAAAAGCCTGTGCTTCCCCCAAAAGCTGGAAACCTGAAATCTGAGAGCCAGATCAATCCTGACACCCACGCTCTTTCATTTCCATGTTGCTCTCAACAGCTCCGGTGTTCTAACAGCAGCGTCAAATTGCTGTGGATTCAGAAACTTGGCTCATAAAGTAAAATATTTACTCATCGACAGAAAAGCTTCACTGACCTCTGCTCTGGATCTTAGAGCTCTCAGCAGCTTAATGTCACCGCCTCCTCTCTCTCTCCTTCTCCCTCCCCCTTTCTCTCTCTCTTTCTCTGACTCTCTCTTCCCATCCTCTATATAGAAAGGGGGATGTGCACTCCAGAGCAAATACTCCTGGAGTCCAAAGGAAGGTGTGAGAACCCCTGGAGCTGGAGTTACCCGAGGGTGTGAACTGCCTGCAGTGGGAGCTGGGAACTGAACTCAGGTCCCCTGGAAGAGCAGAACAAGCTCTTAACAGCTGAGCCATCTTTCCAGCTATAACCTTGTTTTTTGAGATAAGGTCTCTCGGTGGTCTGGGACTTACCAATTAGGTTAGACTCCATGGCTACTGAGTCCCAGGGATCTGCCTGTCTACAGTCTTGGCAACCCAGTAACGATGTCTGTGTGAGATTGTCAGTCCAGGGCAGTGTCCATCTGCCTGTTTCCAGTCCCCAGCATGGGGATTGCAAATGCATGCCACTGGGCTCAGCTTTTTCACATGGGATCTGGGTACCAAATTCAAGGCCCTGTGCTTGTGTGGCAAGCTCTTTAATGGCTGACCCATCTTTCCATCGCCACTGCTCTTGTTTGGATCTTTCTTAGCCTTTAGTCTACGGATCCCTTTGACGTAAGTCAGGGGTCATTTTAAGTGCATTCTGCATTTCTTTTACCTGCCCAGCAGGATAGGGACTCGGTGCCCAGTTTGCCTTAATAGTGGCATCAGAAGATGAGGTTTCAGGGAGAAGGGAAGATGGGTCTTCTACTGTGACCCTTGCACCCTGGGGCTCCATCTGTAGACTGTTCTTTGTTTTACCAGCAGACTGTAGAGGCAGCTTGTCATCTATGCGACTAGGCATTCCTAGTCTGTTCTCAAGGTTTGAAATCCACTCAGAACTACACATTTTAGCTTTTACCTTCTGGGTAGGCAAATTGTGCCTGATGAGTCACAGCTATGATTACCCTCTTACGACAGAGACCTTAAGGGGGGAACTGTGGCTAGGAAACCATTGCTAGGAGGCTGGCTTGACTCGGTTCCAAGTCATTTTCCTACTTCATTTCTAGCTTCTAGTCACCAGGTCCTTCTCAGCAGTGACAGCTCCAGAGCCTTCCTCTTCTGCTTGCCTGGTGACTTGGGCAAGTTATCCTTTCCCTGAGCACCATGGATAAAATAGAAACATTTTCCCACTCATCTTAAAGCCAAAGGCCCCTGGGATGGCTCAGTGGGTAAATGGCCTGCTGCCAAGTTGGATGGCCTGGGTTTGACTATCAAGACTCATCTGGTGAAAGAAGAAACTGACTCCCACAGGTTACACTCTGACCACCCCCCCCCCACACACACACACTCACAGTGACATACATATGCTGTCCTTCACACATGAAAGATAAATAAAAAATGTAATTTAAAAAATTAAAAATAAAGACTGAGCATGGTGTTCACACCTTTAATCCCAGCATTCAGGAGGCAGAGGCAGGTGGATCTCTGTGAGTTCAAGCCCAGCCTGGGATAAAGAGTGAGTTCCAGGTCAGCCAGAGCAATGTAGAGAAATCTTGTCTCAAATAACAAATAATAAAATAAATAAATAGTAATAAAATAAATAATAAATACTAAACAAGAAGAAGAGATAAGGACTAAGCCAGACTCTGGATGCTGAGGCAGGAGGTTACAGTTCTGCTCAGATACTGGCAATTCGGGGACACGTTTCACACTGCATTGGGTGGAGACCAATCTCATTTTGCAACAGAAAAGACAGGAAGGCTTTGAGGTGAAAGGATCTTCCCAGGTCACACGGTGAGAAGCAATGAGGTGTGGCTCTCCCTCTTCTGCCCCTGGGACACCAACCCCTTACCCTTCCCTGGACCTCTGAGCCCAGGTCACCTTGTAGCAGATCCTGCCCTCCTGTACCACGTAGAGCCTCTCGGGTAGAGCTGCGTAGAGCTGACTGCTCTGGTTCTGCATTGTGTCCACCACCACAGGACACTGGGGACTCCTGTCCAGCAGCAGGTGTGCCGCCCGCAGGCGGTCCTGGAGGCTCCGGTGCTGCCTGATGTCCACGTTGTTCTTAAAAGCCCAGCCATCTGCAAGAGGAAGGTTAGGCTGCAGCCCTGTGGATGTGACACACAGTGACCATGGTCTCAGTCCCACCCACTTTGAACATAGCAGATCAGTCAAGTCTCCTGTCAGAGTTGAAATGCGAGGCCACACAGGGGTTACCAGAGAACTCACGCGCTACCTGGGATGCTGACTGACAGACCTCGGGTCTTCAATGAGACGCGGTTGGGCAAAGTGTTTCTTGATTGTTAGCCTACATTTGAGCTATGCCGGGCTCTGATAGAGGAAGGAAGAGCCTGTCGAGGGGGGCAGGGAGAGTGTAGCTATTGAGGTTGCTGGTGCCTCAACTGCATTTAAAGCCAAAGGTCACAGCAGTGGTTATCCAGGTGTGTGGCCCCCTGGGAGGCTGTTAGTCACCGGAATTCCCAGTCCTGCCCTAGGCCATAGAGGAACAGTTTCTGAAGTGTGTGTTTTCATAGTCTTCTCTGTGATTCTAATGTACAAGACAGTTTAAGAACTACTATACTACCCTGGCTGAGTGACTGAGCAGTGGTGGCACACGCCTTTATCTCAGCACTGGGAAGCAGAGGCAGGGGGATGTCTGTGAGTTCGAGGCCACCCTGGTCTATGGAGCGAGTTCCAGGACAGTCAGGGCTACACAGCAAATCCCTGTCTGGGAAAACCAACAACAATAACAACAACAAACCCTACTACTGTGGAATCTAGACAACCTCCCTTCCCTAACTCTTTCTCACAATGCTGTTCTTTCCAGTATGCAAACCTGGCCTTGCCACTCTCCTGCCTAGGTTTTTTGATGGGTCTCTATCACTCTCAAGCTCGATCCCAGGGTCCTTAGCGTCTTCCAGCTTGAGCGCCTACAGGAAGGAGGAGCTGCAGGTACCTTATTTCCCTCTTGCTGGCTCCGGCACCAGCTTGAGTGCAGAGCCAGTGCAGGTTGAACATGGTCTCTAAGGCAGAGAAACAAGCCTGAAGGTTGACCAAAGTCATATGGCCAGCATGTGATGGAGTAGGACTCACACCCAGGTCTAAAACCCAGTCTGTGACCACACCCTGGTGCCCTGTGCCCATGCATCTTAGCTGGATAAACATGGGAAAGCCAACCAACCGAGTTTGGCTAGGGTTGGTGGACACTTGACTCTGCACACTTTCTCTCTCAAGTTCATGTCCAGTTCTGTGTAACTGACAGAAAAAAGCATTTTAGAGCCAGGCGGTGGTGGCGCACGCCTTTAATCCCAGCACTCGGGAGGCAGAGGCAGGTGGATCTCTGTGAGTTCGAGGCCAGCCTGGTCTACAAGAGCTAGTTATCCAGGACAGGAACCAAAAAGCTACGTAGAAACCCTGTCTCGAAAATCAAAATGAAAAAAAAAAAAGAAAAAAAAACATCTCAGAGTATGAGGCGGGGAGAAAGAACTGTCTGCCGCAAGGGAGCAAGATGCAGGGGTGACTACGGCAGGGCAGCGACAGGAAGCCTTTCCTCTGTGGCTCAGATGGACAGGTCTGGGCTCTGGAAAGGGTGGGACTTGCTGGGTCTGACTTCAGGGAAAGTGCAGCAGGCATCAGAACCACAAGCCAGTGCTGGGGGTGATCCCACCCCCACTACAGCTAGCAACTTGTTCTTCTGGAAATAAAAGCTGGGTCCTCCCGACTCCGTTCCTCAAAGTGTGGTCCCTGGACCAGCTGCCCTGGCTCCACCTGGCCACACTCCTGTCCTCCTGCATCCTAGTAGGATCTCCAGGTGACCTTATGGAAGTCTGAGAAGTGCCACCCCAGGACCTAATCAGTTCTGTCATCTTGGGGACTGTCCATGCCCTGTCTCATCTCAGCTATGGAGACTCTCATAGATCTCAGTGGACTGCCCAGGGCCCACTGCTCACAAAGAGAGTCACTGTGCCTTGTGCTTGAGCTCCTGCTGCCTAAGCTGTTCTTTAGAAATTCTATCATGAAGAAGTTTACACACACATAAAACTGCAGAGAAGAGCATGCGCATACCCACGCCCTTACTAGCCCATGATATTTTAGTTGTCCCCCAGATGTGAACGAGAACAGAAGCTTCCTCGGGTAAGAGCTATCCTATAGCAGTGCTCCTCTGAGTGTGGTCCTCACTCCAGAGGCAGTCATCTCCTAGATCTCAATCCAGATCTGTGAAGGTGTCCGCCATCACAGGGCCCCTAGGAGCCTGGGGCCTCCCTAAAGTTTGGTGAGCTATGATCCAGACAGGCATAATGTCTCTTTGATCTTAGGCTATATCTTGAAAAATAGCTATAGGGCAGCCATGTTCATTTGTGACACAGCAGGTCTCAATTCCTTGTAAATGAGTTCAAACCAGTTGCCCTCCCTGGAACACACACACACCCTTGCCCCCCCCACCCCCTCCACCCTTGTCTATGTTCCTCTTCAAACTTCTGCTCTGTGTGCCCTGATTAAAAACAGACTGTGTGGGGCGGGGAAGAGGTGGTGGGAGAGCCAGTGCAGGGCTTCTCTGGTCCTCCCTCCTCCTCCCCCTCCCCCGCCAACTATAAGGTGGGCTCAGAGGATGGGAGAGAGAGGGGTGGGAGGAGAGGAGGCAGAGTCTCTGTACCTGTCGCATGAGCTTCTTCAATGTAAATGATGAGGAAATCTGCTGTGGAGGCAAAGTCGTCTACAAGTCTCTTGAATTGGTCAAATTTGAAAAGAAACGAAGGTCAGGTGCAGCTGCCAAAATTCAACACCAGCGGTCGGTTGCCTGCAAGAGAAGGAGCCATTGGGCGCTACAACCTGCACAGTTTTCTTTCTGCATGTAGCATCTTCCCTCCTGCGTGCAAATCTGTCCTCTCTGGCCCTGTGGGATGAGTCCCTTTTGTCCCTGCTGGATGAGTCTTGGGCATAGTGTAGCGCCCAAGCCTACACACCATGGCTACTGGGGGCTAAACCTGGCTTTTGTCCCCTGAAACCAGACATTTTGTTAGGGGTCTCAGTGACCATTGTAGATGCTAGATGGTAATTAAAATAGCAGAAGAGTCCCTTCCCCTCAGACTGCAGTTTATAAAGTAGGCAGATATCCATCCCCCATGCAGTGTGGTTGTTAATATTCTAGGTGAGCAGTTACCCCCCTCTCTGAGACAAGGTCTCACTATGTAGCTCTGGCTAGCCTGGAACTCACTATGTAGACCAGGCTGGCCTTGAACTCACGGAGATCTGCCTCTTAAGTGCACTACCAGGCCTGGCAATTCTCTCTCATTTTCACGAAGCATCTGAAATTTATGAACTTGCTTCAGCACCCACACACAGCAGGTCAGCAGTGAAGTTCAAATGGACTTAGAAGTCAGTGCTCTTTCTATGAAAAGTGCCTCAGTTTCCCTTCACAATGGACATGATAATACACATTCTACAGGAAGCTGGGATGATGGCTCAGTAGTTTAGAGCCCTTCCTGACCTTGCACAGGTTCTGTTCTCCACACCCACATTAGAGGACATTAGGTGACTCACAACCACCTGCAATTCTAGTTCCAGGGATCAGACTCCCTCTTCTGGTCTCTACGGCACCAGGCACACAGCTGGTACACATACAGATACACAGGCACTCACACATACACACACAATAAAAAAATAAATCTTAAAAGAATACACACTTTACAGCATCATTATGAAGATTAGGTAAACTAATGCTGCTAAGACCTTAATACGGTACGTGGTACAAACTAGACCCTCAGCAAATGTACACCATTGTATCTACTCCTTGAGCTCTCGGGTAGAGAAACAGCATAGAGCGCATCTCAAAGGGAACAGGGGTGGGACCTGCTGCAAAATGAAATCTTCAGAAACAAAGCTGATGCTGCTAAATTTGCTTAGCAGATGCCTCATGCTTTCTGTGGTCTCTCTCATCAGCTGGGACACTGCTATTTAATGCCGTCCTCTCCTAAGCCAAGGACATTGGAAGGGTGAGAACAGGCCCCCCATGGTCATCTTGTAGCCCCATAGCTCAGTGGGCTTTTGCATGTGTCTCCCATCCCCTCCAGACCAAAACCTTCTCAGCCAGGAACATAGCAGATCCTGCCTTTCCTGGTCAGTGATCTTGCCCCTTCTGGGGCAGAAGGTGGCAGCAGCCACTGTGGAAGCAGGAAGCAGCCACTGTGGAAGCAGGAAGGCACACCCAGCAATAGCAGAGACCCAGAGGACATGCCTCAGGCGTTCAGAAAAAAGCTGTACTTGTGTGGGCTGAGGGTCCAAGCCCTCAGAGCTCATCCACTGTCCCACAAGGTTTAATAACTAAATATAGACGCAAGGATGAAAACCCAGCTGGACGCAGAGGTTCAAGCTTGTGGGGAAGGCCATCAGATGCCATGTTCAGTGAGGTGTGTTCAGCAGGGAGACTAGCCACAAGCCAGTAGACAGTAAGTGAAGTGTTGTGAAACTGTTACAAATGTTAAGAAAGAGATCCTGGAGGAATGACCCAGGGCAGACATGTGCAGCAGGGAGGGCCTCTGGGGAGCGGCCATTCAACCTGAGAGGGGGAAGGGCAGGAACAAACCAGCCCTGGGAATGGAAGAAGGGCATTCCAGGCAAAGCCAGTCAATGGACAAAGTCCTCAAGGAGGTACAGAGCCCAGTTTGTTTAAGGCCCTGCAAGACCACTGTCTGGAACCTGGCAGGGGGGCACCAAGGACAGAGTTGGCATAGACTGCCATGGGCCAGAGCAGGAGCCGCTGGGTATTATTCTAGCTGCAGTGGGAAGTCCTGGAGCTGTAAGGCAAGGGTGGCAGGTGTTTGCTGTAATTCTTGCCCGTCTGACCTTAGTCTTTTCTCTCATGTGGAATTCCCTATTCTGTGTGACTGATGAGACAGTGCCCAGCTTTGCTATGTGAAAGACAGAAGAAGCAGGAATGCCCTCTGCCCCAGCAGCAGGGGCGGACAGCACTGGAGAGGTGGGAGCGTCAGCTAGTGCACAGGTAGGGGCGGGCAGCATTGGAGAGGTGGGAGAATCAGCTAACGCACAGACAGGGGGCAGGCAGAACCCAAGGACAGGCTGCTAGATGGTGGCAGAGGGCTCCTCAGCTGACTTGCACTTCATGTCACCAGTTACACATCTCCCTTCTTCTGCACAGGATTTGAAGCAGCTTGCATGTATGTTGAAATAGCAAATAGTAACCAAGGGAAGAGATCCTGGCCTTCTGAGAAGTGTAGAACAGGAGAGAAAACAGGGCAAAGAGGCTCTCGGGTGCTATGTGCCTTTGGAAATTCAGCTTAGCTTTTGGCGATGCTGGAGATCGAACCCAAGGCCTCAAACATGCTGAGCTGAGTCCCCGGCCACCGTGCATTCATTATGACAGAGCTGTAACTTGACCTTGAGTGTTCTAATAGTCAAGAAAAAGGAGAAGCATGAGTGGTTATAATATTCTAATACGGGGCCAGCAAGATGGCTCAGAAGTAAGGGTGCTTGCGGACATGCCTGACACCCTCAGTTAGATTCCCAGAACCCACGTGGTGGAAGGAGAGAACGTGCTGCTTTGTGTTGTCCCCTGATCCCACGTGTGCACTGTGGCATGAGTACATGTAAACACATGCTAAATAAAAAAGTTTTCAGCCTTCAGGGTGAGAAGTAGTCACGTTGGTTTCTCTGCAGACACAAAGCCCTCCTTGTTTGGCTTGCAGACTGTTTTCCTAGGTGGCCCGAGGAGGTCCCAGAGTGGGGCCTTCTCTCAGACAGTTGATTGCCTGATGATCCCTTACCACATGACAAGGAGGCCCTGGCCTTAGCAGGGGAGGCTCCGAGGCCAGTCACACTGACGAGTGGCTGATCACTGGACTGTAATGACCCTAGAGACTCGCTCTTCAGATAAGAAAAGTGCTTTCAGGTCAGACCAGCTTGAAATGTTAGTCTTCCGGAATGTTGCTTTCAGTGGGCAAAAATTCAACAGGCCCTAAAAGGGACAGACTCATTTGTTTACTTATCCAGAGAGTGGTCGTCATGGTGATGAGTAGTGGGGGGGTGGTCAAAGTCTACACTTGGTGCCCCGCTGACCTGGCAGCAGAAAGGGGAAGGATGGGTGTTCATGTCTGGTGTCCTGCTGGTGTCCACAGGCCACAGTCCACATCGTGAGGGTGTCAGGTAAGGACCTGAAGTTAGGTCGGCTGTGTTGCATGACTAGGAAACCGTTCTAGAGTGCCGCTGGGCTGGGCTCATGCTCATGCCTCCCGGGCCAGCGCCTGAGCCTCTGGTCCAGGCTGTCCCCTAGAGAAACCGTCCTCTGTGCACTTGGAGAGACTGCAGACCCAAGTTTACGCTGTGCACGTGTGTGGTGCTCAGGAGTGCACACATACTGTGTGTGTGCATCCTTGCTCAGGGCCATCTTTCTCCCTCTGGCATGCTGGGGCAGAGGCCAGCGGCATTCATGTCTGTTTCACCAGTGCCAGTGACTTCAGGGCACACCGGGTCAAGGTGCTGAAAGCCAACTCCGTTTTATAAATGAAGGTTAGGTGGTCTAGCTCGGCCTCTCACATGGTTTCTTCTCTGATGCAGCTGCAGGGATCAGGCACAAAGTGTACACTCCTTTATCTTTTCTTAAAAAGGGCTTATTTGTGTGTGTGTGTGTGTGTACACACATGTGTACATGTGTCCGAGTGTCTGCAGAGACCAGAACAGAGAGGTAGATAGATCCCCTGAGACTAGAGTTACAGGCAGTTGTGAACTGCCCGACGTGGGTGCTGGGTACCAGACTTGGGCTTTCTAGAAGAGCAGCAACCATTCTCAGCTGCGGCGGCATCTCTCCAGCTCACCACATCCCACTTTCTTTATTTTAATGGGCATCTCATGTAGACCATGGTGGCCTACAACTCTCAAGGTAGTATGGCCTTGAACTTCTGATCCCCTTGCCTCCACTTCCAGAGTTCTAAGATTACAGGCACCTATCACCATGCCTGACGCGTTCTTATTTCTGTACTGAAGATCAGACCCAGGGTCTTGGGTATGCTAGGGAAGTTGCCCCACCACTGAGCATGTCCCCAACCAGTGGTTTTTAATGTAGCTCTCATTACACATCCCAGGTTGGCTCTGAACTCCAATCCTCCTGCCTCTGCTTCCCTAGTGCTGGACAGCAGGTGTTTGCTGCCATGCCTGGAAAGCTGAAGTCTTTTTAAGTCAGAGTGGACAGTTAACTGATACCCTGGATTCCGTGAGCTGGCCCTGAGGCAGGGTGACTTTCAAGGACCTGATTTTCGGATAAACACCCAGGACATTGCTCTGTTCTTCCAGTGTCTGGCACACAGCAGACACAGCATAAAAGCTGCTCTTCCTATTCTTCTTTTTTCTTTTTCTTTCTTTTTTTTTTCTCTCGAGACAGGGTTTCGCTGTTGCTTTGGCCCATTGTCCTTATCGTCAGTGCTCGTGTGCAAACTGTTGGCTGACTAAGATTCTTTTCATGTTATACTTTAAAATCATTAATGAAGAGGGGGGAGGGAGGAAGGGGACAGACAGACCTGCCCTTCCTCTTCTACTTTGAACAGTCTCCTCATATTCTAAACACACCTCCTCCAGGAAGCCTTCCAAGTCCTAAAGGCAGTCAGGTCCTCCTGACCCTCCCGCCCTCCTGGCCCTCCCTGACCCCTGTATTTCACAGGATCATTGAATTATCTTGTTCCGTCCTTCTGTGCTGTGGAGCCCTAAAGCCCTTGAGCCTAGGAGCAGGGTCTTGCCTAGGCTCCTGAGGTCTAGCAGACAGTCTGGCGCGGGCAGGGACGGCTCACTGAGAAAGGGGAGTAAGAGGTGTGATCCTGGGTCTGATTGGCCACTCAATCAGTCAGTCAGTCAGCTCAGCCTCTTAGGTCTCTCCATTCCCCTTCTAGGGACAAGAGGGCACGGTCAGAGCAGCATTTCCCAAAGGGTGGTGTTGGGAATCAGCCCACTGCGCAAAGGCTTTCCTTGAAGAGAGAGAGGAGTGTTGGGAGTGGGGGCTTGTTTTACAGATCTGCTTTTAAGTCTCAAACCTCTCTGGACCCGCCACATGCCCTCTTGTCTCATGTCATCACAGGAACGGACACAGGATGTGGGGTTTCCATACTGGTTTGGCTGGGGATCTCTATGTAGTGAAGCTTTCCCGAGGGGCTTGGGTCCCAAAGAACATGCACTGAAAAGCACTGGGCTACCCCCGTGTCTCGGAAACCAGGGGGTTAACTGAGTCCGGCACAGCTCTTTCCTGAGGAGCTCTGCTGGTGGGGAGCAGGGGTGGTGGGAACCAGGTAGGAAGTGGCAGTTCTTTGAGGAGAAGGTCAGGTAGAGAACCCTGGATCCAGAAGGGAGAGAGCGTCTCTGTCGCTAGAAAGATCTGAGGTGGCATCTCAGAGGATGAGGGATGAGAGCTGGTGCATAGAGGAAAGCGGCTAGACACACACACACACACACACACACACACACACACGGTGTTCCAAATCATTTCATGGTGTTTGCAACGGCACAGAGAAGCCAAGCCCAGGTGGCAAAGCCCCACATTGGTCTAATGGAGTTCTCGTGAAAGATTAGGGTGAACGTTCCAAGCTTGACCAGGGAGGACAGTGAATGCCAGTCTGAGGCCAGGGATCCTCTGAATGTAGATGTGGGATGCCACAGGACACCCCCCACCCCCATCCCCGCAAACTTAGGATGACGTGATCTAGCAGCCGTCAAGTGGAGTCTGAAAAGAGTCAGGAACTTGAGTAGAGAGTTCTGTCAGAGAGAGGAGCAGTGAGGACTAGTTAGGGCTTCCAGAACCCAGACAGACCTTTATAGCAGATGGGGAAGAGGCCAGAGGGCTGAGAGATTTTCTCTTGCTACTCTGTGCCCACATCAGACATGGGGCACTGTAGTGGGTTGCAGCTATGGTCCCTGCTGTGGAATTTATAGGCTAGTGAGGGTGGCAGGTGAAACTTAGGTGCCCATTCATAGCTGCAAACCTTCAGTGCTGTTAAGTAAAGCTGAAGATGCTGGTTGGCATATAACAAGGGAAACCTGGGGAAGTCAGGACTAGCTTCTTGCAGGAAGTGGCACTGTATGTCAGACTAGAGCCTGAAAAGGATTTCATCAGATAAAGATGAACTGCCTACACCAAGAGGCTGGAAAGCCAGAGTGGATGGCTTGTGACATGAACTCTGCAGATACCAGCTGAGAGAGAAAACCTCGGAGAATTCCGCCCCTGAGCAGGAGGACAGGAAGCCCCACAGGAGCAGCCTGAGTAGTGATAGAAAGTTTGGTGTTTTCCAATTTACTTCTCCATCCCACCGGCCCCCCTGCTCCAAGCCCCCAGCAGAAGCAGCCTGCTGACCTTGAATGAAATCCCAGATGTTGCACTTCTGTCCCGAGAGGCGGATCACCGTGCAGTTAGGGGCCAGCCCCCCAAGCTCAGCCCTGTCTTCCAGTCTCTGCCACCGGACCTTCAAGACAAACCAGAAGTACTGGATGCTGAAGAAGGTCGGGACCCAGTTGTCGGGGGAGAATCGGGGATTCCTGGCCATGCCGGTCTTTTCACCCATGGCCAGGATGTTCCGCCTGGCTCTCTCTGGGAACAGTGTCATCAACACCTTGCCCACAGCCACCTCCACAGCCACCTGCAGGAATATTCCTAGCCGCTTCAGCCACAGCCATAGCCAGGGCAGCCCCATCTCAGCAAGGGGTAGAGCTGACTCCAAGGTGGATGGACAGACAAGAGGGGCCCCAGCCAGACAGCGCTGGGCGGAGCTGGACAAAGGTGCAGGGCACAGCAGCCAACCCTGACAAGAGGACTGTGGCAGACAGGACAGAGGTGTTTGCCTTGCTGTCAATTGGCTGGAAAATTGCCAAATGTGCAGAGTTCTCGCTTAGTTATTATCTTCTCAGGTTCTGTTACCTTTGGAGAGATTCTTGGTGTCCCGATGGTTGATTTTGTTTTTTAACAAACACTTGAAAAGATCACACGGAAAGGGACTTTGTTGAGCCATAATGAATCCCACTATTTTATACAATTAATAGTGTACAATAAAAATAATACAGTGTTTTTTTTTAAGAACAAAAAAGAGACCCTGTTAAAAGATCTCTTGCTGCTGTAGTGGTGCACACCTTTAATCCCAGCATCTGGGAGGGAGAGGCAGGCGGGCTGATCTCTGTGAGTTTGAAAACAGCTTGGTCTACAGAGTGAGGTCCTGGTCAGCCAGGGTTGTATAGTGAGACCTGTCTTGAAGAAGAAGAAAAAAAGAAGAAGGAGGAAAGGAAGGAAGAGAAAGAAAAAAATCTCCTACAAATGAGTAGCTTTCAATGTTAGCTATCTTTGACCATGTGTGTATCACATAAAGAGTGGCTGGGATTAGGACCCAATGATAGCATGATAGCCAGGCATATACATATATATAGTTCTGGCCGGGCGGTGGTGGCGCACGCCTTTAATCCCAGCACTCGGGAGGCGGAGGCAGGTGGATCTCTGTGAGTTCGAGGCCAGCCTGGTCTACAAGAGCTAGTTCCAGGACAGGAACCAAAAGCTACGGAGAAACCTGTCTCGAAAAATCCAAAAAAAAAAAAAAAAAACAAAAAAACAAACAAACAAACAAAAAAAAACATATATATAGTTCTGGAATGTATACCCAGAGCTACAAAATAAAATAAAATTGGGTTCTTTCAGTAATGAAAATTAGTTTTCTCAATCACACTTATAATGTACGGTTGACTGTTTCAGAGACAGAGCCCTCTGGAGAGGGTGTGGCCTGGACCCTCCCCATACCCTCAATTTCATGTAGTCAGGATCACAGTTTGTAGCCTTTTCTTTCCCTTCTTTTCCTTAGTTGTATTCATTTAAGTTTCCTGCCTTTTTAGCCAATTTCTTCTGAAAGTTGTAAATAATTTCCCATTGTCAGGCTATACCAAACTCGACCCATCCATCAACTGGGGAACATCTTGGTTGCTCCTAAGATCATAGATAAAGCAGATAAAAACATCACATGAGGATGGAAACAGTTTGCCCACTCATTTGGACCATCAGTGGGTGCAACTGACGGACTGTATGGTTGATTGTGCTTGGTTTTGTTAAGTGTCCACTCTCCTGCAACGTGTCAGGGGGACTTTACATTCCCCCAGCAGTGAGCAAGGGTCCACGTCTGTTGCTTCATACCTTTGCCAGTGTTTGATGATGTCAGTATTTTGGATGTTTGCTATTCTTGTATGTGTGTTCTGGCATCTCTCTCATTACAATTTGAAAGTCTCTGATACATATGATATGGAGCACCTTTTGATAACAGATAAATTATATCCTGATAAATATGCGGCAAGTCACAGTTGAAAATGCATTTAATACAGTCAATCTACCAAACACAATAGTAGTGTATCACTTAAAAATCAAATTACATTTATATATGTGTGCGTTGTGTGTGCGCATGTGTGGCAGGGGCCATGCTTCCCTTGGCACATGGATAGAGGTTAGAGGACAACTTTGGTAGTCAGTTCTCTCCTTCTAGCATGTGGGTCCCAGGGATTGGACTCAGGTCATTGGGCTTGGCAGCAAACACCTTCTCCCAAATGTACACCTTGGCACCTCTAAGTGGAACATCTTTACTCTTGGATGAGGTACTGACCACAGCTTTTGATTTTTATTTGTGGTTCTGTGCACCACATGCATGCTGAGGGTTTTGTGCATCCTAGGTGAGTTCCACCACTGAGCTACACCTACAGCCCCATCTTCTGCCCATTTTGAAGTCAGGTGTCCATTTTCTTATTGAGTCTGCAGAGTTCTTTGAATATTTTGCATAAGATTCTTTCTCAGATGTGTCTTTTGCAAATGCCTTTCCCCGTCTAGGCTTGTCTCCTCATTATCTTGATTGTTTTTCATTTATTTGTCTTTTTGAGGCACAGTCTCCCTACAGAGCCCAGGTTGGTCTCCCTATGTAGCCCAGGCTGACCTCCCTACTCTTGCTTCCCAAGTGCTAGTATCATAGGGGTGTATGCACTATACCTAGAAATTACTGTATCTTTATAATAAATCTTAAAGTACAATAATGTTTGTCCTCTGATTTTGTTCTCCTTAATTATTATTATAACTATTCTAAGATCTTTTCCTGCTTCACATAAACTGTAGCTGTGGGTTGTATTGAATCTGTAGATCAACTTGAGAAGAATGGAAATCTTGGCTGTTGGGTCTTCCTGTCTGTGAACATGGAAGACACACTGATTTCTCAGCTGTTCTTTGATTTCTTTTGTCAGAATTCTGTAGATCTTGTTCATATGTCTTTAGATTTATACTGAGTTGTTTTACTTTTTGGATGTTAATATAAATGATTTTGTGCTTTTAATTTCATTAGTCAGCTGTTTACTGGTCTTAATTGTCAAGAGAGAACCTAGATTCACCTGGGGAGAGTGGGCTCTAGGTATTCATGTTGGAGGTTATCTGCCTGCATTAAATGAGGCAGGAAGAGCTGCCCACTGTGGGTGGTGCCATTCCCTGTCTAGGAGCAACAGCATGAATTTTTCCTTTTCTCCTTTCTGACTAGCGTTGCAGTGTGACCCACTGCCTCAAGTCCCTGCTGCCACAACTTCCTTGTCATGATGGACTGTGACCCTGAACCCTGAGCCAAAAAAAACCCTTTCTCTTTGAAATTTGCATTTTTCACAGCAGTGATGTAAGTAACACACACACACACACACAGACACACACAGACTTCAGGATCTGATACTATTCTATTTATAGCTGAAGTCAATCTTTATTTAAACAATCAGAGAAGGCTTCTTTTGGGTCTTTATAAGCCAGAGTTAGCTAGTAAGAAGCCTAAGCCATTGGCCAAACAATTGTAACTGAGAAGTCTCAAAGTGGTTATTTCATAAGTGGCTGCAAGGGCCTGGTGGACAGAGAGAAACCAGTTCAGAGGGATCGGTGAGATGGAGAAAAATCTCCATCTACATTTGGGGGTGCCTTTTCTTGTATAGCACTTAACTCTCTCCTTAAGAATTTCCCACGTGTAGACGGAGACTGCTCGTGTGTTTCCTGGCCTCCCAGAACCAAATAATCACACAGAAACTGTATTAACTACAACACTGTTTGGCCAATGACTCAGACATATTCCTAACTAGCTCTTGCATCTTAAATGAACCCATTTCTATTAATCTATGCATCCCCATGAGGCTGTGGTCTATGTACCGGTAAAGTTTTGGCATCCTTATCCTTCAGCAGCTACATGGTGTCTCTCTGACTCTGCTTACTCTCTCTATCTCTGTTCAGATTTCCCACCTGGCTTTACTCTGCTAAGTCATTGGGCAAAACAACTTTATTCATCAACCAATAAAAGCAACATATATACATAAGGATATCTCACATCACCTAGGTGTCTCACCAAATCTGTCGACTTCTCAGTGGTGATCTCAGGGTCCCTTCTGCAATTCTCAAGAATGAGCCTGCCCTCTGGAGTTCCAGTGAGGAGTCCCCACAAGTGGCTTTGGCAGCTGGAGCAGAGTCTCAAGAGAGTGGCAGCTGATGTGGGTGGTACCAGCTGGCATGGCTTCTTCATTTGTGAGGTCATGCCCAATGTTGGGTGCCAGATGTTGTTTTTCTGTTAGCTTAGCAGCTGCACCTGAAATTTAACTAAGTCTCTATCATTCTATTTACCATTAAGACTCAGGTGTCAGCAGACATTTGGGTGAAAACCTGCTGGCTCTGAGAGGCTGAGAAGCACTCAGCTGACTTTCCTTTCTGACTAGAGACCCAGCCGGAGAGCATCTCTCCAGCTATCTCAAACCAAAAAAAACCAAAAAACCAACCAAACAAACAACACCCTCAAAACTCCAAGTCCCTCGCTGCTCCTACCTGTGCATCTCTCCATCTGTCTTCCTGGCTCCTCCACACTCTCTTTGCCTAATCCTGTCAACTAGTTGCTGGCTCCACCTCCCAACCCAAGGTTGATTTTATTAGCCCAGTCTTGGGTTTCACAGTGTGATCAAATATCCCAATACACCCTGTGGCTTCCAGAGCTCTGAACACTACATATTTCCAACAAAGCCCTTTATAATTGAGAAGCCATTCGTTTAATGCCATGTGCTTTGTGACGAGGACAGTGTTGCCATCCCTTCGGTTTCTTCAACTGTGCTTTAGCCGTAACCTCAACAAGTGATAACACAATTCTGCAAGGCTGACTGCCTCTGTGCCTGAGTTCCAAGCAGATCCAACGTCTAATGTCCCCGCTGAAAGTTCTTTCCAATTAACTTGATCCCTTGGTCTGAAGCAATGCTGAACAAATTACTATTTCTCGTGCTTTGAATCAGAAATCCCTGCAGAGGCTAGCAGGTCAACGGCTGGTTGCCAGCTCATGGGGCTTTATGGAGGTGACTAGATCATGAGGTCTCTGGCTTTATCTGCAGATTCATGCACGGATGGATCATAATCACATGGCACTATTGAGAGATGGGGGGAGGTTTCAGAGGTAGGAGGAAGCAGACCACTGGAGGCACATCTCTCAAGAGCATCTTGCTTCTTCCTGTCTGTCCATCTGTGCTTCCTGGATGCCATGGGATGCGCAGCCACTGCCACATGCTCATGCCACTATGATATTTTTCTTTATCTTAGACTCAAAGGAATGCATCCAGATCACCTTAGGCTGAAACCTGTGGAACCACGAGCTCACAGAAACCTTCTCCCTTTTAAATTGCTTTTCTT